CCATTTATGAAAGTTTTGCTTTTTCTATCCAAAAGATGTAAGTCCCTTAAGCAAACAAATGTTCTAGAGCCTGCTCATTTCTGCAAGTCAGCCAGTAGCAGATATAAATGTTACTTTTTTGCCTATAAAACTAACTGTGCTATAAAACTGACATTATCTTACTACATACATCAATGAATAGCTTAACTTAGATTTTAAGTAGTAGATGCTATTTAGCTTTCTTTCTTTTCTTTTTAAAGGTTGCTATAAGGGTTAAAAATACTTCGAGTATTTTTGCTGCAAATCAAATAAGAGATCACCATATCAGACTGAGTATTTGTCTATCAGATAACAGCAGAAAAGGAAGATACAGAGTCAAGAGATTTCAGTATGAGACACAAGGCAATGCCCCTGTTTGTTCCTAATGCGCACGTCCTGCAATCTTGGTACCAACAATCAAAGCCACATACAGAAGTATCAGAGCACCTCTTATCTCAAAGTTGCTTTATGACTTAATAACAATTTATACCACCTTTTTACATTTACATTATCCTTTTACTTCTCAACATTTCCATCTCTCTCCCTAGTGCCCCCTATCCCTTCTTTAAAGACCCCAACCTTTGGTGAAAAATGTGATCTGATTATGAGAGTCACAATAGGAGTTTCGTATATTCCTATGTCAGAACTGTCTGCTTTAACCTGAACTTTGTACAATCTTGGATCTCCCATTTCCCAATAAGGTCCCATTGATTAAATTTGGGGGGGTTTTTCTTTTCCATTTCTAGAATGAAAGAAAAAAAATCAATTTCAACCTGGAGAAAACAAACATATCTCTTTGGTGGTCAGACTTGATTCCTATTTACCTCAAACATTTGGAATAAAATGTCAGTATCATGCCAAAAACTCTTCTACCCTTCCTTACCCAAACTCTACTGGACAGACTCAGCCCAAAGCCTCAGGAGTGTGGAAGGAAAAAACAAACAAAAGAATACCCTACCCTCATATATAAATATACCCTGAATGTAAAACTCAACATCATGTACAACCAAATAATGGGACCTAATTGGAACAAGTTACACTTATTCTATGTATGTATAATATTTCAAATGATACTCTGCTGTCATGTAAATAATAATAATAATGATAATAATAATAAATACTCAACAACACTAGGAGGATCCAGGATTGGCTTTCCTACTTGCAATCCCTACGGGTAACTTTAGACAAGCAGGTTGTTTTCTCTCAGCCTCACATTGCTTATCTCCACATGAACCATCTGGATTAGAAAACCTTTAAAGCAGCTTTTAACATTAAACATTTCTAAATAGGAAATCACAAGTCAGTGTTTATGAAAGCACCTGTCAAGGCAGTCCCAGGGATGAACTTCACCAGAAGGATCATGCACTAGGGCTGTGAAAGTGTACTCACAAACTCACCAGGACACACAAACATTTCTGGATGAGAGGAAGGAAAAGAAGACACAGGACCCAAGGTTTTATCAGATTCTTAAACAGCCTAACACTCTATTCAAAAAGTTGAGAACAAGTGAAAGGTAAGACATACAAAAGAATACTCAAACACTTCCCACCCCACCACCACCCCCCCCCCCCCGCAAAAAAAAAAAAAATCCCCAAGGAATTTGCAATGAACTAGTCTTATCTCAAGACACGTGTTTAACCACTCAGGGAAAACACAGTAATTTTGATGAGATAAACTGAACTACTAGAACTTTCATCAGTACCCATTATCTTATGATTATACAATAAAACACGAGAAAAGTGACAGGAATTATACAGAAAAGCTGAGATAAAACTAGTTGGGCTTTGAAATGCATTATTTCTATGTCAGACTTATTCTTCAAATTATGTGTTGCTTAGATAAGTATTACCATTACTTTTCCCTTTTAAACATTTACAGGAACAATAGAAGACAGGCCCAAAAAAGAACAACAGAGGACAAATATGTCTAAAAACCTAAAAGTCAAGTCATGTCTACACTGGCATAGTAAAGTACCACCTACTGCACAATGCCTGTTTGGGTCCTCTAGATGAAAACCAAAAAGCACAGCTAAGAATAAGGTTCTGGAGTCAGACTGCCTTGTTTGTATCCCAGCTAAGATGATAAATCAAAATCACTCACTGGTTATGAACCTGAGGGAAGACAACCGCTCTGGCCTCAGTTTACGTGTAAAATGTGACAACAGTCCTTAGGGAAGTTTTGAGGCTTAAATAAGTATTACAAATAATGCCTGGCACATGGTAAAAATTCTGGAAAAAAGGGAACACTATTTCTTACCCCGTGCTGTAAATCAAGTGAGAATCCATGACATTAATGACAAATAAGATCTCCAGAAAAGTAAACCTAATTTTATCAACAGCTTCAACTGTCACTTCCGAACTGCGTTTTAACAAGAGCAGTTAGTTGTAAAATTAACCAATGTATGTATATATTTCTGTCTCTCTTGAACCTCCCAAATTCACTACTAGAGGAGACAAGTGAGAACAGTGTGGAAGGTCCTGGGACAGCACTATCTAGAATTTTCTAAGATGATGAACTATCCTATATACACACTGTCCAATATGGAAGCCACTAGCTTCATGCGGCTGTTGAGCACTTCAAATTTGGGCAGTGTTGAAAAAAAATTTTTTTTAAATTTAATTTTATTTCATTTAAACAAATAGCCAGATGTGGCTATGGAGCTACTTTACTGGACTACATGGCCACAGATGATCCATAAATGAAAAAAGGAACATAAGAAATTTAAGGGTCTTCTTTTCCTGAATTGCTTATATGTTCAATGCAAGTATCCTTGTGTTTAGTGGAAATCGGGTAACTGACTAGTTAAAGAAATAACATGTCAACTCATGCATCAGTACAGTGTAAACTCAGTGCTAATAAAAGGATCAGAGATAAAGAAGTATATGGCCTTCTGATATTTTAGAAGGTCCCTAAGGCCAAGTTAAATTCAAGCTCATGTGAAGCATGATTCAATACATAGACCAGATCTGCAAAGGGCCAGCACCAAAGCGCTTGTTTCTATATCACCAAGTGGGAAGCTACTTGGACAATGCACACTGAACATCTCTGAATTTATCTTCAATTGTTTCTCTCAGACATTCACAGTTCTGTAAAGCTTTCCCTCTTTCAGAAACACTAGTATTCTTGGCCTTTCCACTATGCACAAAATCCATGAACCACCCATATCTGAAGTATAACGCCAGACTCCTGCTTAGCTGCCCCTGTAATATGGTTTAATTATGATGACTGAACTAATAGGCTGACATCATAGACTTTTACAGGCTGACCCCATGTCATCCTGATGTATCATTTTGCACCAGTTCAGTGCTGTAAATCAATTTAAGATCTTGAGCAGGTTGAAAAGGCTGGTAATGATGCTTTCTCTGCCATCTCTGGAGAGACTACATTATACACAACTTACATTATTTATAAAGCCTCAGCGATGCCTCCATTAGCCTTGTAAGACTACACAAATGAGTTCTTTTATACACACACAACTTGGCCTTAATTATGTAGGCTACTGCAGCTTAAATATACTCCTCTAATTACACTCAAGTTTATTCTTTCTCCAATCTACCAAGTTATTAAATTTTACCCTGAACCCAGAATTGCTAAAAATAAAATTACAAACTGAATTTTAGTTTTTAACTAAAAAAATATATATAGTAAATGTAGCTGGAAAAATGAGACTTACTTCCTCTTAATGCTTTAATCAACTTGGGGGGGGGGATTTTACTTAAATCCCAAGAGGTATTAAGAGGTTAACATTTTTATTTCCTAAAAACTATCATTTCTCTAAAACACAAAGGTCATCAGCTCTGCAAGGAAAGGATAATGCAAAAGGAAAAATGTATTTGATTACATACCTATGGTTGTAGGGGTCAAAACTAAATCAAGGACAAATCCCTACCCTCAGAAGAAACCCGATCCTGCCTGGATCCTCTGGCATCACCATCTCCAGAAAATCATCTCTCAAGACCCTGGTTACAGTTTCCTAAGAATTGCACTATTACACAAATGGTCCACCACCTGCATAGAAATATCAAATAACTGCAAATGGGAACGAGGGAGGGAGAGCGGAGGACAAACACTTTAATCAGTACAGCATATTTAGGCCTGGCACCTAGATCAGAGTAAAGCTGATGCAAAAACATTTACACCAATTGAAAATGCTGGGGCAGTGAACACAGGATCTGCCTGGAATTTTTTTTTTTTTTTTTTTAAACAGTCGTTCCAATACAGCTCACCTGCCTCCCATACAACGTTAAGTGGTAGTTACAAACAACATGTAATATTAACCTGGGCCAGGAACAGTTTTCTCCTGGTGTTCCTGAGGTGTGGGTACGTTATCCACGACTGGCATTGAGCGCAAAAGATGTTCGTTCTGAAATAAGGGCATTCTGTGATCTAGCCGCTGAGAGCTTCCGCAACATGAAGACAGAACAGAAATCTTCCAACTTTTCTATCAGTCCATACTTTGGGGCGGGGAGTGGGGTGCAAAGCCAAGAAGAGAGAAAAGGCAGGCTGTCAGTACTCACGAAAACGATGCTTCCTCCGCGGGCGATGGTTCTCAGACCCGCCTGGATTCTCAGCGCCTCACTAGTTATCTCGCACCGAGTATTTTTGTTTTAAATTGCATATGCCTCAAAATAAACAAAAGCCTCAGCTACGGTAGTTGTGAGATCCGGCCGGCATCTGTTCCTGCTGCCTCCCCAAAGCACATCCAGGAAACCTTCTCCCTCGCAGCCCGCACAAACACTGAGCAACTAGCAAACAAGCCCACGTCGTCGCTCTCACTCCCACCGCCCCCACCTTCCTCCAGAAACCACCCGAGAAACCCTAACAAAGACAGGCGCAGAGGGGAGGCACAGTTGTTCCCGGCGAACTCGCGCACACACACGCAGTGAGGCAATCGAATCCGGTAAAGGGAAAGGAATGAGACGACACTCGGAGGCGCAGGGGGTGTAGGCGGAAGAGGGGGAAACTGCGCGCCGCCGCCAAACCTTTGAATAAATCAAGAGGGAATTTCGGTGCGAACTTTCCCTGACCTCGACCCCAGGGCGGCCGGTGGGGCACGGAAAGGAACCCGCGCGGGATGCCCGGGGGCCCGGAGTCCCCCTCCCGGGCGCCCCGCTCGGCCCGGGCTCGGAAAGGGCAGCGCCCGCGGCGGTCCTCCGAGCACGGCGAGGGTCGCCCGGCCGGAGCGGGACACAATGGGCCCGCGGGCCGCGCGCACGGGCCTTGGCCCGGCTGCAGAAACGGAAAGAGAACCCGGGAGAGGGAGGGCGGCCGGGAGGTCCCGCCGCGGGCAGGCCGGGGGCGAGACTCCCCGCAGCACACCCAACAAAGCGGCGCGGGGAGCCCGGCCCGCGGGGCACGAGGGGAGGGCGAGCGGGCAGGTTCGCACCCGGAGCGGCCGCGAGGCGCCATCATGGGGGGGGGGGGGGGGTCCGCGGCCCCACGCGGGGAAGCGCAGCCCGCGCCCGCCCCGGCGGGGACCGCGGCGCTGGGCAGCCCGGGCCGCCGAGCGGAGGGCGGGGACGCGCGCAGGGAAAGTTGGGTTCGGGTCTGTTTCGCTTTACCGGCTTGGCGGCGCGCCCATCCGCGCGGACGCACGAGTGGCCGGGCGAGCGGGGTCCCGCGGCCCCAGTGCGGCCGGCCGGGCGCGGCGCCGCGCTCCGCTCGCAGGGTCCCACCCCGCGCCTCGGCCCGGGCTCAGCCGCTCGGCCTCTCCGTCCTCCGCCCGCTCGCTCCCGGAGCCTGGATTGATCTGGTCGCGCTGGCGTCAGGGAGTCGCGGCCGCCCAGCCTCCACTCCTCGGCTGCCAATACCCGGCGCACTCGCTCGCTCGCCCGCCCGCCCGCTCGTTCACACGCGCACTCGCGCGCGCCGCCGCCGCCGCCGCCGCCGCCGAGCGACCAGGGATCCTCTCCAAATTCCGGGCCCAGCTGGCGCGAGCGCGGCGCAGCGCAGCCCCGGCCGGCGGACAGCGCAGGGGAGCGGCGCGAGCCACCGCCCCCAGTCCCCAGCCCCACGCCCAGACCGTTCCAGGCAAGAGGAAAAGCACACCGGCTTTCCGGCTTTCGCAGCCCTGCCTCTAGTCCCGGTGGGGCAGGCTGGGTGCACTAGGAGCGAGTCCGGCTCGATGTGCTGTGGGTTTCTTTTCTGACACGTTCTTTAACACGTCCACCGCGCGCACGGGTTCGTCGTTAGAACGCGGAGCACATTTTTTCACTCACCTTTTCCTGTCTAGTTTTCATCGCCGCTCATTCACTCCACAAAGATTTGCAGCCCCAAAAGGTGCTTGTGTCCAGAATTGGATAAAAACTGTTGCAAACCCTGAGTCCATAGATGCATTTCCAACTCAGGATCCAATGATTTGAGTAGGACCCTGTTGCTCCAGATAATGACAGAAGCCACAAGGAGATACCTCTTTTTTTTTTTTATTGGTTGTTCAAAACATTATAAAGCTATTGACATATCATATTTCATACATTAGATTCAAGTTGGTTATGAACTCCCAATTTTACCCCAAATACAGATTGCAGAATCACATTGGTTACACATCCACATTTTTACATAATGCCCTATTAGTAACTGTTGTATTCTGCTGCCTTTCCTATCCTCTACTAAGGAGATACCTCTTTATATTCCAGGGATTTGGTCCAGTTTTTTAGAATCTTTTAGATAACCCAAATGCCCTCAAAACAAAAACAAACTTAACTTATATATACCTGATTTGCATAGACATTGAAAACATGTTTTTCCAAGGATCAACTTTTTTCTTCGCCAGTCTTTGAAAGCTGAAATAGAATCTTGAATAATTACTATAATGGTGAGTTGTGTTTAAAGAAGAATTATTCTGAGGAGTAAATTTCGCATGAACCAAAGAATTGTTGCCAGCAACGTTAATTTCAAAAACCATGGTTAAATGAATGGTACTCTGATTATTCCTGTATCTTTATGCATCAAGCATCCCATTTAAAATTCTTGCTTATTATTAAATATTTTATATTTAATTATTAAAAGGAAATACAACAAATCCCATAAAACCCATAAAATGTCATTTATAGGTTATATGTCAGAATTTCTGCTAATTAAATCCTTTCTTTGTTAAACTCTTTGAGCATTTACTGGTCAATTCTTGGATCTCATTTGTATTTTCCTAAAAGCAACATTTATCAGAGTTGCTCATTTCTGCTTCTCAGAGCAAAAGCTACAATTTTAGCCTTGTAAAATGCCACTGAGATCAGGTCACTCTCTTGTTCAGAACCCTCCTTTGATAAATAAAATGAGGTATATCCAGACAAGGGAACATTATTCAGTCATAAAAAGGACCAAAGTACTGACATGTGTGCTACTTGGATGACCCTTTAGACATTATGCAAGTGAAAGAAGGTAGACATAAAAGAACACATTTTGTTTGTGTCATTTGTATGAAATGTCCAGAGGAGACAAATCTATAGAAATAGAAATTAATTGGGGGATTGAAGCACCTGGGGGTAGCCAAAGGTGTACTAGTTGTTCCCTCCCTGAAACATCATTTTCCAGTAATAGTTACACAACTTTGTGGATACACTGCAAGCCATTGAATTTTATACCTTAAATGAGTGCATTATATGGCATGTGAATTTTATCTCAGCAAAGCTGTTAAAGGAAAAAAAGGAAGATATAACTAAATGCAGTATATGATCCTTGATTGGACCCTGACGAGAAAAAAAAAAAAAAGCTATACAATGGCATTATAAAGCTGCTAATTTTTCTGAACCTCTACATGGTCTTTCTTAATGCAGTCCTACAAGCCTCAAATGATAATTATTAATATTACACACACTATGAAATTTGATTTCACCCCTTGTGCATTTTATTTCTTTAAATGGTAATAAAAATTTAGATACTCTTTTAAAAATGACATTAATGAGACAGTTATAAGAACATGAATATAGACTATATATTAATATCATTGCATTAAAATATTTAAAAATCCTTCTTTGGCTCCCCATTTCACTCAGAATAAAAGTTCTCCCAGTGTGTAGAGAACTTACATGATCTTCCTTCCCAACCTCCTTTACCACTCCAACCTCATCTTCTACTTTCCCTCTTGCTCCCTTTCTCAAGTCACCCTGGCCTCCTCACTCTTGTGGCATTCCGGGCACACTCTCACCTCAGTTCTCATGTACTAGCTGTTCCCTCCCTGGAAGGAGGTCCACATGGCTCCTCTGTCCCTCCCCCATGACTTTCATCTGCATGTCAACAGGCCACCATCTACAGTTTCTCCTACACATACACTTTTTATCCTCTCTCCCTATTTGGCTACATATGTTTCTTGTAGCAGTACCTGTATTGATTAGCTTTCCATTACTGTAACAAATACCTAAGACAATCAGCTTATAAAGAGAAAAGGTTCATTTTGGCTCATAGATTCAGAGGTTTCAGTCCATGATCCGTTGGCCCTATTGTTTTTGGACCTGTTGGAGGCAGCAGGTCATGGCAGGAAGTCTGTGGTGGAGGAGACTGCTCACCCCATGATGGCTGGAAGTGAGGAAGCCAGGGAGGGGAGGGGAGGAGAGAGAGAGAAAAAGACTCTCACATCCCAGGATCCCCTTGTGAGCACGCCCCCAATGACCTAAAACCTCCCACTAGGCCCCATTTCTTAAAGTTTCTTCCACCTCCCGTTAGGGCCAGGCTGAGGACCAAGTCATTGAGGTCTTTGGGGCGACACTCCAATTCAAAACTCTAGCATGGCCTAACTGCTTACCTAAAAAGCTAAATTCTTAGCCTGTTGTGTTCACTGCTATAGCCTCAGCGCCTGAAACTGCCTGCATCTAACAGAATCTCATTAAACACCTGCCAGATAAATGAGCGAATGAATGAATGAATCAATCAGTCAATCACGCCTTGTTAGTCTTGGGGGACATGATGGCAAACAAAACAGATGAAAATCCCTGCCCTCCTCAAGGGAGATATAATAATTACAAATATGTTAGGTGGTGGTACAGGGGATAGAAAAAGCAAGGTAAGAGAGATCTGGAGCAAGGCCAGGGTTGGGAGATGGTGGCTATCTCTACTGGGACAGGGAAACCCCCTGGCAGGAGGTTCTGCACACAGTAAAGGAGGCCTGGCACACTATCTGAGGGATAGTTTTCTGACTGCCCAAGCAAAGGACAGAGCCAGTGCAAAGTCCAGGCTACTTCATGTCTTCATGACAGATCCAGGGGCCACTGCAGCATTGCCAGGAGAAGTGAGTGCCTGGCAGGAAGGCTGGGTGTGGGGCCCAGGGGCACACAGGCCACAGGCCACAGAGGCAGGGCCCCAGGGTGGTCTCTTCTCACTGCTCTCCTGTCTGGAAGAAATATCCAAGGACCTGCTTCCAGAGAACTGCAGTGGGTGAAGAGATGTTGGAAGCCGCAGAGAAAGGGCACCTTGGAGCAGTTGTCTTCTGGGAGGGCTTGAGAGCAAACGAAGTAGGGAAACGTGGCCGGAATGCCAGCCTGCAAGACAATCCTATGAGGGATTGAGAAGAGGGGAGGACTGAGGAAGGGGAGGGAGACAAAGGGAGAGTAATTGGGAGGGCACGGATATGATCAAAGTATGTCACATGCATGTACAGATATGCCCCAATGAAACCCACTCTTCTGTATAATTACTATACACTGATTAAAAAAAACAACACTATGTTATACACACTGTATTCTCTACTTTATAGATGCAGAAACAGAGGCACCAACATAATAAGTGACTTGCTCAAAGTCACACAGCAAGTATGCTGGTGTCTATAAAGTACTGGATATGGTACCTGGCCTCTTGTAGGCATTCACCAAAGTTACCAATAGTCTTCTTGCTGAATATTTGTAGTGCTATGCTGAGAATACAATTTCTGTCTCCAAGCCAAATATCTTGGGTAAACTCATACCCACAGAACAATTAATGGAGTAGTCAGTTTTTGAAAATGACTACATGATTTCCAGAAAAAAAAAAAAAAAATTCTTCAATGGTTTTGCTCCCAGTAGCAAGTTCTCTCCTCTAGACATGTATCCATTGGCAAGTTTCCCACAGTGAAGGACTGGCTTTGGCTGCATTTAATATAAAACCTAAATAACATTGATTAGGCAAAATAGGAACTTATTTAATCTCTTATAAAAAGAAGGTCAGAAATAAGAATTTCGGGGCGGGGGCCGCGGTGAGATAACACAGAGGTGTTAGGGCCAAGGTCTCTGCAATTCTCTTTGCTTCTAACTCATTGTTGATTATAAAATGTCTGCTGCAGCTCCAGTCTTCCCATCCGCATTCCAGACAGAAAAAGGAAAAGGACAAG